ACGCTGGCACGGGCAGCAGGGGTCTGGCCTTGAGCAGCAGAGGAATCTGGAACACCGAGGGCTCGACCGAGGCGCGCCTCGAAGCGCTGCGCAAAGAGCTGCTCGACGAGGCTCGCGAGACACTGTCGCGGTACGATCTGCTGCTTCCCTCGTCGCGCAGCAACGCGGATCGCAAGCGCAAAGCCGCACTCGACGAGGCGAGCGGCCAAGAGGACAGCGACGCCAGCACGCCAGCGCGCCACGGTCGAAATGCCAGCGGCAGCGGCAAGGCGTACCATCGATCCGGCGGCCTTGCCAAAGGCGGCTCACCCGTGCCATCGACGCCCGATCAGACGCGGAAGCTCGCAGGCACGAGCGCTAGCGGCAGCCGCGCCTCTGCCATTCGGCGCCATTCTTCCGGCGACCCTGCTGCTTCGGCCGAGGCCAAGGGCGCCTCGGGCCGGAGCATGCGGATCCGCCTCAAGCGCCCTCAGCTCGACGCTTCGCCGGCATCGGACGAAGAGCACTCACCGCGCCGCACGTCGGTCGTCAACCTGCGCGTCTCTCGGAGCGGCGCAGGCGCGTCGCCCACCGCGCCCGAATCGCCATCGACGCCGTCAGGTGCCCCCAAGGAGGTGCGTCCGGAGCACGTCTTTGCCAACATTCACGCGCGGACCATGGGCGGCCGCTTTGCGCCCAAGAAGGCCCTCGGCGAGGGCGCTACCGGAAGTACGAGCACCCGTGGCACCAAGAGCAAGTGGCCGGCCGGCTCCTCGTCGGCACCGACCTCCGCGATGGCCGCATCAAAGCGTCGGTCCATGGACCGCTCCAGGCGTGACTCTTCGGCGCCATCGGCATCGGCAACGGCGTCGACCCACCTCCCGGCTAGCCCGTCGCCCGCCTCTGGCTCGCTACCGTCCGAGGCCGGCATCCCGCCTCGAGAGGTCAAGGAGCATCAGTGGGGGCTTTCGGGCCAGGGGGCCCCGCTCAGCTCGCTGCGTTCGCGCTCCAAGCACCACGCCGGCTCGCCCAAACGCCCCGGCGCGCCTACGGCCCTCCCGACCGGATGGGCCAAGGTGGGTCCCACTCTGTCGGAGCTGCGAGCGAGCGAGCGGAAGCCGCTACGGGTCAAGTTGGTTCTGGGTAAACGCAGCGCCTCGAGCTCCACCCCGTTGGCTGGAGCGACGGCGGCGGCGGCCCCGGTCAGACGCGACGTAGCAGGAGCATCTCAGATGATGCCGGAAGAGGACGACGAAGAGGATGACGAGCCTCCGGCCGAGATTGTCATGGGCACGGCGCTGACCGAGGAAGAGGCCAAGGCGATGCTCGAGGCTGCTCTCGCCGAAACCATGGCCGAGGAAGAGCAGCTGTCTCGCACCGGTGGAAGCCCCCCCTTCTCGACTCCGGCTAGGCCCGGCTTCGTCGCGAGGCCCGCACAGCCGCTCGGCTTTTCGGCGTCATCGCCCTCCGCTTCGCGATCGCCAGCCTCGACCGCACCGCCAGCGTCAGTCGCCGCCGCTCCGGCCACCCCTACGGCTCCGGCGACGGGCGCGGCTGCCGCAGGCCCTGCGCGCTCCCATAGCCACACGTCGACGCTCGCGTCGCGCATGCCACCGCCAGCCTCGCCGGCGACGACCCCCGCCACAGCGGCATCGGCATCGGCATCGGCAATGAGGCGCAACTCGTCCCGCGTCCAGGCGACGTCGGCCTTTGGCGAAAAGCTGCCAGCGCCGCTGCTGGCGCGGCGCGACTTTGACGAGACCATCGCGCCCGTCCTGGCCAAGCGCTCGTGGCGGTGGGCGCTGGCCGCGCGCGGCTACGACGCGCTCGGGCCCACGTCGCCGCTGCTGCCCGCCTCGGTCGCGGCGCTGCGCGAGCAGCAGCGCGACGAGCAGCGCAAGGCGCACGAGTCGATGGCCTTTTTGGCGCTTCCGCTTCGGGCTCGGCGACGAGTCCCTCGACGACGACGACGACGACGGTGGCGAGGCCGGCCACGCAGCAGGCGACTCGCGCGACGGCCGCCGCCGCTTGGCCAGGGTCGGACGGCGCATCGGCGACGGCAAGGAGCCTGCAAGCGAGGCCGAGGCCGAGGCCGCGGGCACAGGCAAGGGCAAGGGCAAGGGCCGAGCCGACGGGCACAAGCCGCGAGGCCGGCAGCACGCGGCGCGACCGTTCCAAGGTGTCCGATTGGATGACGTCGTCAAGAGCAGGGAAAGGGCAGAAGGGCAAGCCGAGGCCAGCCGGAAACCGGGCGGCAGGGCCAGGGCCAAGAGGTGAGGCAGCAGGCCGAGCAGGCCAAGGGGACGGCAGCGAGGCGGCTGAGCGAGGGGCGCGGTGGGAGCCAAGGCTCGCTCGCCTCCCCCGCGCTTCCTACTGCCTGCCAGCCTGCCGCCGACGTGGCCTGCCCGCCTGCGTGGCTAGCCATCGAGCTGGCCGGCCGGCCCGACTATCTACGGGGAGAATACAAAGCAGCCAGGGCGATGACGGACCGTCGACGCCGGTACAAATACACGAGAGCCGGGAAGGGGGATGGAGGGAGGGACAGATGGTCCTGGAGACGGAGCGAGATGCAGGAGAGTAGCAGAGCATCGAGGGGCGCGGGGCTCAATAGTCGCGGCCCATGCCGCGCGGCTCGTAGGGCGGGGGCAGCACGGTGCCCGGGTCGGCGTCCCACTCGTCGTCGCTGTCGATGTGGATGCTGCCGGCGTCCTGCTCCTGGACGACGACGCGGCTGGGCACGGCCTGGTTCGAGGCGTGGAGCAGGGCCTGCTGCTCGCTCGCCACGGCCGACTGCACCAGCTCCGACATGGTGGGCTCCGTCGTGCGCGTGCGCACCTGGCCTGGCGGGCGGGGCATCGGCGCGCGGATGGTGATTGTCGGCGGCGGCGGTGGCAGCTGCGCTGTCGTTGCCGTCGCCGTCGAGCCAAACATGGTGGCCGCGTCGGACGGGTCGGCAAAGGGGTCCTCGTCGCCGTGTGCGCTGCCGTCGCGCGAGTAGAGGAGCGGCGACGAGGCGCCGTCGTGGTGAGGCCGGTAGTGGGGCGTCGAGGACGAGCCGAGGCGGCCCTTGAGGCTCGAATGCGTGTGCCTGTGCCGCAGCGAGGCCGACGCCGATGGCTGATGGCCGAGCGACCGGAGCGAGGGGCTGCGGCGCGGTAGCGCGGCCGCCGTCGCGGAACGCTGCGAGGCCGAACGCGACAGGAGGGGCGCCGCCGACGTCGCGGTGGTGTAGGTGCCGTAGGGCATGTCGCTGTTGCGCTCGTCTGACGACAGCGTCGACGTCGTCGGGGAGAGGTCGCCCGAGCCGCCACCGCCGCCGCCGCCGCCTTCGCGCCGAAGCGAGGCGGCGCGCTGCGACTGGGCGTGGTGCTCGCGGGCGAAGCTGACAATGTCGCGCGTGTACGACACCATTTCGGGCCCGCCCGCCATGTGCGGCGCGCCGCCGACAATCTGCGGGGCCGAGTAGCTCGTGTACGAATCCATGCTGCGGTTGCTGTGGGCGTACGAGAACTGCGTGGTGCGGCCTTGGCGCCGCCTGCGCCGCTGTGCCCTGCGACGCCACCACAGCCAGCCACCGATGAGGCAGACGCACAAGAGGACAGGCAAGGCGACGATGAGGACCTTGCGCCATCTCCCTGCCGAGTGCGCGCCGTTGCCGCCAGTGTTGCCCGTATTGGGGTCGACGGTGGAAAAGGACTGGGTGTCGTTGTAGTTGTCGGGGTTGATCAAGGCGCCGTAGAAGTGCAGCTGCGGCGCCGGCTGGCGGTCGTCGTGTACGGTCTCGATGCCGAGCGAGTGCAGGTCCGACGTGAGGTTGCCGCTGGTCCAGATGGGCGGCGGCAGGGTCGAGTTGACGCGGCCCTGGGTATAGGCGTCTGGCTGCGACTCGGCAGAGTAGGCGTCGACGACGGTCACGTTGCCGTCGAGGTAGATCTTGTACTTGCCACGGTTCGGGCCCTTGAGGTCGAGGACGCTGACGCGGTGGCCGAAGAAGATAAACTCGAGCAGCGTGTTTTCGGCCGTGGTGTTGTAGAAGCGGTCGAGCGGGCGGAAGGGGAAGTTGGGCGGGAGGAACTCGAGCTGCCATGCGCCCGGGTCCGGCTTGATCATCTGGTCAAAGTCGCGCGAGCCCAGCAAGGTCGAGGTCCAGATGAGCGAGGCGCCGCTGGTGGTCGTGTCCCCGCGAAGATACGAGGTCTGGTCGCTCTGGCTCGAGAGGTGCGAGTTCGAGTAGGCATTGACGTCGGCGGTCGTCACGGTCGCAGAAGGCGAGGGCGAGGAGGCAAAGTCTGGCGTGACCACCGGCATGGCATAGGACGAGGCGACGACGGGCGAGTAGGCGACGACTGTCGGGGTCGCACTGCCGTTCTGGACCCCAGCGTTGCCGGCGGTGGCGGTGGGGACGATGCTGTAGGACGTCAGCACTTGCGGCTGGTCCAGAACGTACAGGTTGCTGCTCGACGGAGAGGCGGCCATGACGGGCAGGCAGGAGAAGAGGGGGGTGACTGAGAGGGAGCAGCGGCGAGCAGTGTCGAGGGTTCGGCGAGAAGGGCAAGAGGATACGGAGCAGTGTTCGACAGAGGAGCGGTGCCCCCAAAGCGTGCGAGGCTGGCGGAGGGCGGGGGCTTCTCACCACACACGGCTCACAACAGGGCGGGGGAGCGGTGCCCCCAAAGCGTGCGAGGCTGGCGGAGGGCGGGGGCTTCTCACCACACCCGGCTCACCACAGGGCGGGGAGGAGCGGTGAGTGGCGGGCAAGGAGGGCAGCGAAGGGCGCAGCAGCGAAGGGCAGAAGGGTCGATCCGGATACGGTCGGGGGAAGGAGGGCAAAGGTCACGAGAGGACCGACGTCTTTATAGCCTCGAGACGCGAAGCTGGCCGAGCCGGGCGGTCTGGGCCAGGGCAGACGGGCGCGACTGCAGTGCAGCGAGGGTGTCGGGTGTCGAGCGTCGGAAGGGACCCGATGACGGTGGCTGTGTTGGCTCGGCGAGACGAGTGGGAGGGCCGAAACGCCAGCTAGCGGTGATAACGGTGGTGCTGGAAGGGCCGAGAGGACGCGCCAACGCGGAAGTGCTGAGAGACGAGCAAGGCGCTACTCGGCGCAATCGCGAGCGGTGAGGAGGGCGGCGCGGATAACGAAGGAAGGCCGGGCCAAGGTAGCGAGCGAGGTGGAGAGTGGCCCCGGCGAGAGTCTAGTGAGGTCTCCGCAGCACGACGGTGGGGTGATGGAACGAGGTGACGGTGGTGAAAGAGAGGGTGGTGGTGATGGTGATGGGTACCGGTAGCCAGGTGGTGATGGGGAGCAGCGACGCTTGCCTTCCACCATCGAAGCCCAGGCCAGGCCGGGCGGTGCCAAGAGCCAAGCAGGCAGGAGCCTTCCCGCCCCCGAGGCCAGAGGCAAGCAAGGTGGGCGGCGGCGGCCCTCGGCTCGGCGGCGTCCTCGGCCATGTATGCAAACCACGCTCGAAAAAAGGGGGGGGGACCAAGCCTGCCTGGCCATGCAGGGTTCGAATACAAACCCGCCGCCGGCGTCGACCCGCAGCGCGCTAACGGTTGAATTGGGCTCTTGCTGGACTTCGGGGGGAGCGGCCCTCGTTTAAGTCGAAGGCAGGAACTTGAGAATTCCCTCGCCTCGCCAAGTCGGCGGCGGGCTCTGCATGGAAGGCCAGGCTGCAGGCAGGCGGGCGGGCAAAAGGGCCAGCAGCGAACGTCCGGATGGCGGCGCGGCGTCGTGGGGCGGGAGAGTTCTCCGACGAGGTTCCATCAAGGGCCGCCCGGACGCCCGCCCGGACGCTCGTTCCGGCCTGCGAAGCCGGCCGTCATCTTCGAACGCGGAGCCGCCGGGTGTCATCGTCCAAGGCAGGCCAAGGCCAGGCAGGGCCTCAGCACGTTCTGGCCTCATCGCCGTCGTCGATTTGACGACCCACCTTCGGAAGAGGGTGGATGCGTCTCGGATGGTCCGGGTCTCGGTCCTGATCCGACACGCTTGGTTCGGCAGCGACCCCAGCGGGCCAGGCTAGAAATCGCGTCCGTGACGATAAGCTTGGAGAATCGCCAGGAGGGTTAGGGTTAGGGCAAGGGCATGATCCGGTCGGCTGATCCGATCGACGCAGAACCTGGCTGGCGGTCGTTCCGGGGCAGAAGCGGGCGTCAGCGGGCTCGAGCGTGGCTTGGGCTGGCTATGCTGGCAGACGGACAGGTAGAGGCACATGCGGTCCCCAGACGACGAGGCGGCGTCCGAGAGACGGGCCGCGCAGGGAAAGCAGGCAGGCTGAGGAGCAGAACCAAAAGATCGTGGCGGCAAGACGGATGGACGGGCGGTGCAGACCGGCTAGGCACAGTACAGCACAGTAGACACAAAAGGCGGGACAAAGGAGCGACGTGGGTGGTGGGTGGTGCGAAGACGGCACGACCCGATCAGCGGGCAAAGGGAATGTCGTTGGTGACCTCCTGGAGCTTGTCGTAGAGGACGCCGCGCATGTTGCCGTAGGCGTCCTTGACAAGCCACTGGGCGTGGGCGGCGGCCTCGCGGTCCGAGAGGTGCGGCTTGAAGCGGTCGCGCAGCCGGTCGATGGTGGGCATGCCCTTGAAGCTGGGCAGCTCGGTGCCCAGCATCAGGCGGCACACGTCGACAATCTCGTTGCAGTAGGGGCGCGCCGCCAGGAAGGCCTTGACGACGAGCTCCTCAAACATCTTGAACCCCTGGCTGCCCGGACCGCCCATGACGTCGATCATCTCGTGGCTCAGCTTAAACGAGTACGGCTCGAAGCGCATGCCTCCCGGCCCGATGTCGAAGAGGAAGCCGAAGTCGATGTGGACCAGGTGGCCGTCGCCGTCGATCATCATGTTGCCGTTGTGGCGGTCGCGGATCTGGAGAATGTGGCACACGACCGAGTAGGCGGCCATGCTCTGGATAAAGTTGATGCGCGCGCGCTGGAAGGCCACGCTGTCCGGGTTGCCGTAGCGGCCGAGGAAGAAGGCGAGGAGGTTGTTGATCTTGGCGCGGCCCATTTCGTCGCGCGACGTGGCGTTGGGCACCACGTCGATGACGCCGCAGCCGGGACCCGTCGCCGTGACGCGGTAGGGGTTGAGGTAGAGGTCGATGCCGACGGTCGTGTAGATGTTCTTGAACATGGCAATCACCTGGAGCGCCAGCACGTCCTGCCGGCAGTCGTCGCCGACCTTGAAGATGGCGCCCTGCCACACGTCGACGGTGCGCTTG